CCACATGGTAGAGTATTCCGTCAACAAAGGGGAGTCCCACATACTTCAGAAGAAGCTGTAAGAAACTTTTCAGACAGCTACGGGATAGCTCGCCCCAGGGAAAGTTTCCTGCTGACCCCCAATAATTAAAGCTTGACTGATGTTCTGAAACATGAGGGTTTATATCCCTTCCTTTTTTTAATTATTATTAGCAGCCATAAGAACTCTAGATATTTATTCTTCTTACCAATAATCCTTTTTTGAATCCTGATAAGCTCTTGGACGGTGATATCCTGTGGAAATGAGCCTCACAGGTTAGTTATGTTGTGTGGAAGTATTTATTGGTTTTGAATTTGACACTTAATTTCATTGAAGGTCCCCTTGCTCTTGTATTAGAGAGAGGTACCTTACAGTATCTCTGGTTCTTCAAGAGATGGTAGTCAGTATGGATTCCACTGCAGGTGCTTATACAAAGGCATAATGGGGGGAGCCACAACCTTCCCTCACTTCCCCTATAATTCAAAGCCAATGTTGTTGAGGACTTTGAAAAGTGGGGATAGAGGGCGAGTTGTGGGATCCACACTGACGACAACATCTCGAAGAACCACGGTCATTGTAGGGTAAGTGCCCATTCTTTCTTCAAGTACATGTCCATGTGGATTCCACTGCAGGTGACTGGCAAGCACAACTGCTCAGTACATGGGACTCTCCTAAGCAGAAGAGGCACCTGCTGTGTTCCTCTTTCAGTGGAATGAGCCCGTCACAAGATAGGTAGTGCTTGAAGGTTTCAAATCCGCCATGTTGAGAAGGCCTGCATCCGTGTCTGGCTGAACATTCACTCCAGATGGACTGATACTGTTACAGCAGTGGCATGTCAGACTCAGAAGAGTTCTGGACATTGTTATGAAGTGTTTAAATAAATGTAGCCAAAGCTAAGAACCAGCAAGTTGGACACTCACTAGGTTCCATCTTGCTGCCACAAGTAGTAAAAGGGAATGGAGGGAAGGTCTTGGCCTCCCCACCTTTTATGCCCTGATACAGGAGTACAAGGGGACATAGGGTGCATGCATGGCCTGGACGGATAGTTACTTAAAAAATCCAATCGCACATGCATGTGGCACATGCACACTTACAATAGGGTCCACATCAATTTAAACCAGAGAACAGCGCTCCTGATTTCCTGTCTCTACACCATTTATTTTGTGTATTTTTAAAATGTGTTCTCTTATCTCCTCTAGAGGAAGTAGTCCCCAGTTTTTTCAATTTGCATAGGACAGCAATTTTCCATGCCACCAATTCATTCCTGTTGCCCATTTCCCTACCCCCCTCTAAATCAGCTACATCTTTTTTTCAGATCGAGTGACCAGGACTGAACATTCCATGTGAGGCCAAACTATTTTTAGGAGGCATTATAGCATTGTGTGTGTTGTTCTCACACCTATTCCCTATGCATGTTAACATTTTGTTTGCTTTGACTTCTGCTGCATGTTGAACAAAGGTCTTTATTGAGCGGACCACGATAATGCCCCACTTTTCCTGTGTGCATCCAGTTAAATACATCTAGAAGGTGTGTGAGTTCTAAATATTCTCTCCAACATCTATTTCACATTTATCAACACTGAATTTATTTGAATTTTTATGAAAAGACCTGTCATTTCCACTACACAACCAGTCCCTATCAGTTCACTGAGTGGTCAGGAGAGACTGGTCTCGCTGTATATTCAGCCACATTGGAGAGGTAAATCATGTCATCACAACAACATGAGGTTTAAGACTACTACAAGATGACAAAAGCAACAGAGGGTCCTGTGGCACCTTTGAGACTAACAGAAGTACTGGGAGCATAAG